TTACAGTAATGAGGATTTAAGAGGGCTTTAAAACATATCTATTTTGACAATTTCTACACTATTCAATAACTATCTGGGTGCTAAATCTTAATATTATTTGGTTAGGAATATTCAGATAGAACCCTATGTTACTTCAAGTCTCATCCTTTGATATACTGTAATTATTCAGATGTTACATCAAAAAGGACACCCCCAGCGTTATGTACTTTTTAGGGCACGTTCACACATAATGGGGGTGATTAGCATTTTTCTGCACTAGTTAAAGGCCAGTCACTGCGGGACACATAGGAAAAAAAAAACTGTTTTTGTTGTGCCCTGTTCACACAGCAACACAGCCAGGAGATGTGTTGCATTGGGCAGTGGCAAAATGCAGACTTAAGCATAAGACTGGTTATGGATGGATCTGTTTTTTCGTTCAACCAGGTGGTTTAACAGAAAAAACTGACTTGACTCCTCCATCCACATACTCTATGTGGATATGGAAATCCTTCCCTTTGTGTCTTTGTATTCTGACAGCAGGGAGACTTCTCCACCATCAGAATATATGGATCAGCACTGCAGGCGATGGCCTGTAGTGTTGATCAGGTAGAAATTTTCCAACAGGCTGCTTGAACAGAAGTTGATCAGTAGACAGCTAATCAATCATTGCTGATTATATTGCTAATCAGTCATTACTGTGCCTAATAGCATTGGCCGGAACCTGTTATAGATAGAAAGTTCTGGTTTATTTCTGGATACATTGGCGTTACATTAACTTCTACAAGAAGTACATTTAAATACATTATAGGTAATTTCCTTTGCTAAATACATTTTTATATTGGTTTCACCCTGTCACTTGGACACAAACAGCTACTAAAATGCATTTCACAAACTGCTGTACAATATGAATGTTGTTCTCACCTGCTACTGAGAAGAACCTGAGACTGCCGATTGTTCACTTGATTATCTGTCTTATGACGAAACTGCAATTTAGAAAAACATCTATTGAATTGTACCTGCATAGTTTACACAGATCCATTCTAATATATATGACCTCTCTCAGGCTTCATGCGCATGGCTGTACAGGAATCGTACAGCATGCAGAGCCTACGTAATCACTCTCCTGGGACCACAGCTGCCCACAGCCTGTGTTCAGAGCATACTCCCTTGTGCAGGTGCTTTATGCAACCATTGGCACATAAACGCATCTTCTAATTCCTCTCAATGGGCAGTTGCATGCAGCAAGCGCATGTCCCATGACAGTTATTACCCACTGTATGGCCCCTGGACAGCCATGTGTACAAAGCCTTATTAGCAGATAATGAGACCTTTCTTTGAGTAACTAAGGTTGCATGCTCACAAGCTGTTTTTGTCATTTTTTGGGTCCTAATAAATGTCTGTATTGATTGCTCCCTCATTTTGTGTCTTGCATGCATAAATTACATCAACTGGATATTTATTGGGGTTTATTTTTAGCCATGCATAGGCAATCTAACAGTGGTGAAATAACAACTGTGTGTGCGCATAAACTGTATATATGTTTTTTTTTTTTCCTTCCTTTTTTTTAAATGTATATTATATTCTTTGGACCGAAGAAAAAATTATTACAGTCTAAGACCTTGAACAATGACAACTAGCACTAGTTTTTTCCAACTATTTCACTGTCCAAATTCCCTCACCCTTTGATAACTAGGGATCACAAAGTCTACAGTGCCACCCAGTGGCTGCCTGTATTGGTAATTGCCATGCAGAAGTGCATTACAGGTTACAACATCCTAGGCTAAATATTTGTGCATATTACTGGGCTAACTTATTTGATATTGTTATTTGCTTATGGACACATTTTGCTTTAGGGCTGTACTTGGACAGGAAACTGACCTCTGCCTTTACACAAGCCGTCGATGTTTACTAATTTTGCTGAACTTCTGCATGCTGGAAGAAAGCCAACAATATGTATCCATACATTCTTTTGTAAAAATTCTCCTTATTCCAATACTGGTGCCAAAACAAAAGGCAATTTCCAGTTTTCATTGAGATTTAGCAGACATTCCAAGTCTTTTGCTAAACTCCATTCTAGTAAATTTTAAAGGATAAGTTCACCTTTCAAAAAAAGAAATAATAAATGCACATTTTTTGCAGGTAATAAAATGTGCATTTATAATTTTTTTTTCTAAGGAACCTGCAGAACATTGCACCCATGATCAGCAGATCACGGGTGCAATCTCAGGCTCCTGAAGACTCTGAGGATAGTTGTCTGCCTGTACATCAAACGGCAAGCAATTACTTGAGAGAAGGAAGAATCAATGGTCTATGAGAGTGCTCACAAGCGCCCTCCAAGTTCATTGAGAACCACAAACTGTTAGCCACAACTAGGCATTCATTCAGAGAAAATTGTGAATGAATAAAGCGACCATGTGGGTGGAGCCACGCACAGCCATGTTATTTTCAAATTGTAACAGTGGGTGCAGAAAGATCTCCCACCCACTGTCACAGGAGTGCAGTTTGCAGATGTTGGATTTTAGAGTGAATATGTTTCACCCTAAAAGTGGGATGAAACATGAATATTGCCAGAGAATATTAAAAAAGACATACATAATGTATAAATCTGCATATTATAAATACAAATTCTATACAAAACAAAATTCTAACTTGTACAAACCACTCTCTTAAAGTGACACTAAACTTTAAAAAAAAAAAGAAAAAAGAAAAATCATTCAAGCATGTATTCCTAACTCAATAAAGTGTTGTAGTTTGCTACCAGCCTCCTCTTCAATCATCTTTTTTTTTGGCTGCTGTTAGAGGGTGGCTACATTGTCCCACGTATGTTGGAACGTAGCCACCCTCTCTTGTTCTTTCCCATGAACTATGGGATGTGTAGTGTGCATAGAGCAGTGTACATGACCAAATATAAAGTGCATTGCTCATTCCAGACAGTAGGAAACAATATAATGAAAAATAGATTACAGGGTCATTAAAGTGGAGCTCCAGTCAACGCTGAAAAATATAAAAGTCAGCAGCTACAAAAACTGTAGCTGCTGAAGTTTAAATAACAGACACTCACCTGTCCTATTCACCAGCGGTAGGTTCACACCAGCCAGGTTCGCTGCCCGTCCTCTCCCAGAGCCAGCATCCTAAGTGCGGGCCCCGGATGTGACAACTTTTGGTCCAATGCACATGCACAGGTAGCGATGCGCATAGTGAATGGTCCCATAGTCTTCTGGGACCTCTCACTTGTCCCAGAAGACAGCTGGGGGTGGGGGAGGGAGGGGTTTTGTTGGTGTAGGGACAACTTCCACATCGCGATCGCTTAGGCTCCCCAAAGGGTGCAATTCATCATGGGGAGGGCGGGCCCATTCCTTAAAATGGACTCAGCAATAGCATGCAATGCCCAGCAGCAGCAAGCAAAGCTAACAAAATAGTAGCAGGCATTAAACAGGGAATTTACACCAGAGATAAAACCATAATCCTGCCACTTTATAAAACTCTGGTTTGGCCACATCTGGAGTATGCCGTCCAGTTTTGGTCACCTATCCTCAGGAGGGAGGTGCGGGAACTGGACAAAGTCCAGAGAGAGTCCAGATAAAGTTAATAAGGGGACTGGAGGACCTCGGTTACAAAGAACGGCTACAAACATTAAACTTCTCCCTGGAAAAGAGAGAAGATATGATAGTGATATAAAAATACCTCAATGGAGATTCTAGCATAGTGAATAAACTATTCTGTCTCAGGGAGTGTAAGCAGACACGGTCCAACTCAATGAAATCCGAGAAGCGGTTTAACCTTAAACTGTGTAGGGGGTTTTTCACTATCAGGGTGGTAAGGATGTGGAACTCACTTCCACAATTGGTGGTGTCAGCAGGAAGTATTGATAGTTTTAAAAAAACTCTTGGATGGGTATCTCAACGAGCACAGTATACAGGGATATGAGCAATGTTTTTTTTTACATGAACACGCACACATAACACAGGTTGGACTGGATGGAATGGATTATTTTGGAAAATAAGGATATCTTTAAGGCTCCATGCACACGGGGGTGTTAATAAAGCTGGTAACATTAGCTGTGTAAAGTCACCTTAAAAACGTGAGGTTCTCAGCGTTTTTAATTGTACTTGCATTAGCGTTTAGCATCATTTTGTGAAAGTTCTTTAGTGTTTTTTTTTTTTTGTCAAATACAGTCCAAAAAAGACGGTTTTTATCGCTATTTACCGTGTTTTACAGCGTTAGCGTGTTTTTACAGCTAAAAAAAAACTCCTCTAGAAAACCCACTAGTCCTGGGGTTTTTTTCCAGCCAAAAAATGCCCCTGCCCAAAAACCGATGATTACAGTCTACATGTGCATGGACACATAGGATAACATGCTGGGCGGTTTACTGGCTGCAGGAAAAAACGTCAAAAGCCAAACACAGCCGCTGTAAAAAAAAGTCCAGTGTTCATGAGGACTTAGTGTCACTTTAAGAAGGCTCACTCTGGTAGTGTCAGGATACAATGCAAGGTATGAATATAATCCAAATTTAGTTCTTATAAGTAAAAAAGTAACTGCATTATATAACAAGACTGCCATGATCTAACAATAACAAAATTGCACAGGAAAACTTACATAGTCATCAGTGGCATCTTTAACAGCAGTGATGGTCAGTACAAGAACTAAAGGCACAATGGTGGTAAACCACGACAAGGAAGAAATTTCAGGGATTAGCTACAAAGAAGAATATGAAATCATTATAACAGGTACAAACATGCAAACTCTTACTAAAACTTAGTATAAATGGTTGACAATAGTATTTTTAACCACTAGCCTACAGGGCACTTGTACCCCCCTTCCTGTCCAGGCCAATTTCCAGCTTTCAGTGCTGTCACACTTTGAATGACAATTCCGCGGTCAAACAACACTGTACCCATATGAAATTTTTAATCATTTTTTTGTGACAAATAGAGCTTTATTTTGGTGGTATTTAATCACCTCTGGGTTTTTTCTTAATTTTTGTTATAAAATTTTGTAAATAAGTGATTTTTCTCCTTCACTGATGTGCGCTAATGAGGCTGCACTGATAGGCTGCACTGATGGACACTGATAGGTGGCACTGATGGGCACTGATGAGGAGGCACTGGTAGGTGGCACTGATGGGCATTGACAGGCATCACTGATGGGCACTGAAATGCAGCACTGATGCATGGCACTGATAGGCGGCACTGACTGGCACTAATAGGCGGCACTCGCCGCGCTGCGCGCTCCCTGAGCCGCACGTGCGCAGTGAGAATGGGAGGACGTCATATGACATCCTCCCAGAACAAGAGAACCACCTTGCGGCTGTCATATTACTATATGGCGGGCGGGAGGTGGTTAAAGCCATATCTATGCAGCTGTTAAATCAAGCTATCTACTGTGAATTTAACATGATAAAGTCAAATGCAGTGTGTCTGTTACTGTGTGCACATAATTTCCTAACCACACATATTTATGTGAGTTATATTTGTGATCCCATGGATAAGTGTTCAACATGTCCACACCCCACCACAACATGTATGGCCATCACAATGAGGGAAAATTTCTACAATGTGCTCATACCACAGAAACAAAAAACCAATGCACGCATACAGTAAACCTAAACAAACATGTGCTATGGGTACAGGGGGGATTCCTGACCTTATTACATTATATAATTTATAATACTTTTTTTTTGCAAATTCTTTTAGTAAAGAAGCATCAAGAAAAGAGCAACCAAGTAGGAATAACAAACAAAGTAAGCAAAATACAGAGAGCCCCACATCAATCATGTGCAAAATAGTAACATCCATGGATGCATGGTAAGGAAATAAAAACAATACATACTGTAGAAAGAGAACTAGCAGAAAAGACCATGTTGGCAGAGCATGAAGTTGCCAACGCTAAGCAGCAAAATCTAAATCCAAAGGGGCTTCCTTCGATGCTATATAGCTCTCATGAGTGACATGGTCTAGTTGAGGGAGGATACTCTTTTTTTTCCCTCACTTTTAAGCGAAGATAACAGGGGATGAGCAAGTGGAGAAGAAATAAGGATAGAAAGAAAAGAAGGGAAAAAGGGGGGAACAGGGAGGTGCAATGCAGGCAGTGGCAAAGCTGCAGAGAAAGGCTGAATTAAATTCAGTCTCCAGAACAGGTCTCCATTAGGGCCTTGCCCTTATCAGAGTACCAAACATGTTCCAGTGAATCCACGTTTTAGAGTATCGCTCTCACCGGATTTGAGTATAAAGCACCAGATCTTCCAAGATATTTTTATCTTCCACCTTGTTGAGCCACAATGAGATAGAAGGGGGTGAGGAGTTTTCAGTCACTGAGCAATACAAGCTTTGGCGGCATTAAGTGGCACATTCTTGTAGGTCTTGACTGGGATCTCTGAAGTATGAAGAAGATCGGGTCCTTTGGTCCCAGATAGTCAGTAAACCTTTGCGTAAGTCTGTGTACTTTGTTCCAATAATGTTCTAGTTTCAGACAAGACCAAAAAATGTGAAGCAATGTCCCCTGCTCCTCCCGGCATCTCCAGCAACTACCAGAGGCTTCAGAAAAATAAGGCCCGGAGAGAACCGTCAGCGTGCGGTACCATCTTATCAACAGCTTAAAATTACTCTCATTGATGCTTTTGTAGATCAAAGTTTTTAAGGCAAATTGAATGATATTCTCTGTGGGGAGATCGGAGAGTGCGGTAAATCTGGCACTGACAGTCCAAATTCAATGGACAGCTTGCCTGTAACAACGCAGAGGAGTGCCGAGCAGGAGATCGCAACTGGTCCCTGGGAGACCACAAAGCGTTTTTAACTTTTACTTTAATCTGGTGAATGAGGAGATTTAACAGACATTGGTGGTGGCACACTGAATGGTGGTTGCAACATATGGACTTTCTATAATTTCATGGTGTTGGAATCGATGGAAGTACACAATATTTGGGACTTTGCACAGTCATTTGTTTTGAACGCAGATTAATAATTATGTATTTGTAGGACTGTGAGTAAAGTGGTTTTGGTAATAATTTCTTTTTATGATATTTGCAAATTGCACAGAGTATCTATTTGCAAGGGCTATCAGGTGTATGTGATATTTTGGATCTTTTTGGAGAAGGGATAGCGGCTTCAATTACAAATTTGTTGTTCATTTAAATTTGGTAATTATAGACGCGAGTGTTATTTGTACATAATTGATCTTGTTGCTATGTACTGTAGTATAGCAATGTTAAAAAGTAGAGAAATTATCCCTTTTAAAACCACACTGTTGAGAAATATCTACATATTACCATGCTAGCCACAATCTTTAAATTACTGACAATGCTCCTCCTGAATGCGCAAACTTGAACAGCTTATAAAACTAATGCAATATGTTTCCATTGCTACAAAAAATCCATATTGCCACTGTGTGGAAATCTCCAACCTCTAGACAGAAGCAGTCAATAAATGATCATAGCATCTGAAAAAATAAAATGCAACCCAAACTTACTCTATACCAACATTCAGAAGTGATTGGCAGCCATAAATGGATTATATATATAGGTGAAACTCGAAAAATTAGAATATCGTGCAAAAGTTCATTTATTTCAGTAATGCAACTTAAAAGGTGAAACTAATATATGAGATAGACTCATTACATGCAAAGCAAGATAGTGCAAGCGTGATTTGTCATAATTGTGATGATTATGTCTTACAGCTCATGAAAAACCCAAATCCACAATCTCAGAAAATTAGAATATTACATGCAATCAATAAAACAAGGATTGCATATAGAACAATAGCGGACCTCTGAAAACTTGGTTTGGGCCCCTTTAGCAGCAATCACTGCCTCAATGCGGCGTGGCATGGAAGCTATCAGCTTGTGGCACTGCTGAGGTGTTATGGAAGACCAGGATGCTTCAATTGTGGCCTTCAGCTCTTCTGCATTGTTCGGGTCTCATGTCTCTCATCTTTCTCTTGGCAGTGCCCCACAGATTCTCTATTGGATTCAGGTCAGGTGAGTTTGCTGGCCAATCAAGCACAGTAATCCCTCGGTCATTGAACCAGGTTTTGGTGCTTTCGGCAGTGTGGGCAGGTGCCAAGTCCTGCTGGAAAATGAAGTCAGCATCCCCATAAAGCTCGTCTGCGGAAGGAAGCATGAAGTGCTCCAAAATCTCCTGGTAGACGGCTGCGTTGACCCTGGACTTAATGAAGCACAGTGGACCAACACCAGCAGATGACATGGCTCCCCAAATCAACACAGACTGTGGAAACTTCACACTGGACTTCAAGCATCTTGCAGTGTGTGCCTCTCCATTCTTTCCTCCATACTCTGGGTCCTTGGTTTCCAAATGAGATGCAAAAGTTGCTCTCATCAGAAAAGAGGACTTTGGACCACTGAGCGACAGACCAGGTCTGTTTTTCTTTAGCCCAGGTAAGACACTTCTGACATTGTTTGTTGTCCAGGAGCGGCTTGACAAGAGGAATAAGACATTTGGTCAGCAGTCTTCCCCATGATTGTGATTCCTACTGAACCAGACTGAGAGCCCATGTAAAGGCTCAGGAACCCTTTGCAGGTGTTATGGCTTAATTAGCTGATTGGGACACTTTTTTGAGCCTAGAATATTGCACCTTTTCACAATATTCTAATTTTCTGAGATTGTGGATTTGGGGTTTTCATGAGCTGTAAGCCATAATCATCACTATTATGACAAATCACGGCTTGAACTATTTTGCTTTGCATGTAATGAGTCTATATTATATATTAGTTTCACCTTTTAAGTTGCATTACTGAAATAAATGAACTTTTGCACGATATTCCAATTTTTCAAGTTTCACCTGTAGATACCTGGTTTTTATTGCTCTACAGTAATTTGATCCTGCATCCCCTCAGCTTTATATAATAATTACTCTTTATTTTATTAACCCTTGTTTTTGGGACATTAGAGTCTATATTTCTATATCAGACTATGATTCTTAATGTGTGCTCAGACTTGATTGTAGATAAATCTTAGATCACTTTTGGATAGCGTAGGGATGGAAGAGCCCCACACTCCATGATAAAATGCAGCGTTACACGATTAAAGAAAAACACATTTCAGATCTCACAAAAAGATGCTGAGATTACGTTATGTTGCATTTTAATACATGGGACATAAATGGGGCTCTTAAAAATAAAACATCTTCCAATACCTCAAAATTAAATATTTCCCCCAAACATTGACAGGCACCATGCAGGATGGTGCCTTCACGGCTTACAAAAAAGCTTTATTAGACAACCCACTTCTTACAACAGTTCAGAGAAACCCTCTTTCATACATTCTAAAGTGGGAAACAGACTTTGGAAACTGTTACGGTGGATGATTCAAGCTAGATTTGGGCCACCCCAACTAAGAGCTAAGCTCAAGTTTTGGATGTAGAAGCCAACAACAAACTTTTCTGGCACTTGATCCTTTTAAGGATATCTCTAATGGTCCCTAAATACATGTCACTCTACTGCTGTGGCTGCCAGACTGAAGGCTCATTCAAGCATATCTGGTGGAACTGACCAATACCCAAACACATGTGGACCAGGGCCTACAAAAGGCGTTATACGATCACAGAAGCATTTTTTTGCAAAGCCATGCTAAACAAAAACCCAAACTATGAATTTCCCACCAGTTAAAGCTGTTCACCCATATCCTTGCAGAAGTCAAAAGAGTAAAATCTTGGCTTTCAAGGGCCCTCACAATACCTTTTGAGGAAGTCAAGCACCAGGCTTCCGGAGTTCTTTTTCTTTAGAAACTTCCTGCCATGTAAACTAATAATATGAACAAATTTCAGATAATTGAAAGTTGTGAATCAAGCTCTACCTTCCTTCTACCTTTCACAGGGATTCTCTGACCGTATGAACTCTACCTATCATGTTGGGTTTGTTATCTCTCTATCTAGGAGTCATTGCCTAAGTCTCTCAGATGGACAGAAACCCCGATTGCCAGCATCCTCCAACTACAACCCCCCATCCCCTCCTCCTTTTTTGTTTTTTTCCCCCCCTCCTCCTTTTTTATATGCTCTCTCTCTCATGTTCTTGCCCCCTCTCTTATTTTCTCCCCCTTACCCTTCTGCTATTCTTCTCCCACCTACCCATGAAAGCCTGGATCCCAAACCCTAGATTTTCCCATCCCTTAATCTGCAAATGTCATACTAGGAATATTCATTTATTTACAGCTCTCATTCTCAGTTTTTTTATATTGTAGACAACTGTGCTAT